GGGCTGGCGGGCCAGCTCTCCCTCCCCCCTCCGGCCTTTATTGGCCCCATCGCTGGGAGGGTGGGGGAGGAGAGCTCCATCCCCCCCAATTCTTCCAGCGCCAAAGGACTGATCCGGGTTGTAGCCATTGTCCTTTCCCCCCCCCTCCCCTTCCCTCAAAACACAAATAGGGAATTGCGGCTCTTGGCACAGAGACGAGCGACCTCTTTCCAGCCTTTGCAACCAGATCTCCGCCTCCTTCTTGCTGGTCGGAGAGTGCAACCCCGAGGAAACTTGCGCCAGGGCTTCAGCAAAGCTGGAGTTTGATCCCTGGACCCGTGAACTCGCTTGGGTTGGACCAGGAAAGACCTAAGTTCAAATTCTGGCAGTAAAAGAGAGACAGATCTAAACAGACCCGGCGGCGGGGGAGCGGGAGGAGGGATTCAACCCACCAGCCGCCTCGGAAAGCAGTTTACAATTAGCCTTTTAAAAATGGCTGCTTTCAAACTGTCAGCTGGGACAGAGGAGGGCTTTTAACTGCGAGCCAGTTAAACTAAACTAAACTTTAAAGATGACGGAGTATTTTGCGCATGCACGAAGATTGCCATTCTGTGGATGGCTGCCTATGCGCATGTGCAAACTGAGTAAAAGAAACAAACAAACCGCCGATGCCCGCTGTGTGTGGACGGGCATACAGCGATGGGCTCCACTGTGAGGGAGGTAAGTGTGATCGCGTTTCAGACGGCATAAACTGCAACGGTTCCAACCGGAACAGTTTATGCCGGCTGAAACGCCCTGTCTGAACGCACCCTATGTGTATTGTCAATAAGGGTTCTTCTTCCTTAATCAGGACAATAGATTCATTTTTGTATTTTCCATTATTGCAACAGCAGTGGGGGGAAGATAAAGAAGTGTAAACATAGAACTAGTACTAAAAGAAAGGCACATTGATCTAGTGATACAACTGAAGCAAGAGACTCAGGAGACAGATCTAAAAGTTGTACGTTCGCCTTGTCAAAAAGTTTTGATCCATTGTGCCTCTACAACCAACTGCCTGGAGTAATATATCACAAATGTCATTGGAAGCATTGGTATCTGAGTAAAGCTTACTCTCCCACTAATGTTGGAGTTGTGAAACGCCCTTACTTGGGAGTAAGTCCGACTGAACTCAGTGGGAGTCCCTTTTAAGCACACTGCAAATTGTGCCTCCCCCTGATCGCAGCCACAGGCCAAGCTGTCTCTGAGGCAGACCGGGATGTACCACTACTGACTGCAGATGAGAAGTCACAATACTAAATGCTCCTCCTTATTTGAAAAATATCCCTGCACAAAGAAAAGTGGCATAATAAGGGTAAGGGTTATCGTCTTGTATTTTCCCTGACATTTTAGTTTTCTCTAAGCAGGATAGGAGAAGCACTACATGTTGCAAATCCCCACCAGCAATTTTCAGACAATCCACCATGGCTTTGCAGCCTCTGTTCAAATACTGAACCTATGGAGATAAATCTGGAATGACTTATTCAAGTCCGATTGTTTTCAAAAGGGATGAAGCACATACAACCTGCAGCTCAAGTGACAAAGGCCATCTAGGCATTCTTTGTATTCTCAGTGTCAAACATCTGCATTTCTGTTCTTTGGGTCTTTGTCCAACAAACTAGAACAACTATACTTATGACCAATCCTTACATAAAGAGATAAGATGATTTATAAAATAAAGCTCCATGAAGATTAAATCTGATCACATGGACTGGGAAGGGGGGAGAAAAGAATGAACGGGGAGATGCTCTGCCAGGTCATTCTGAGGCTATGTAGAGATAATTTCTCAAGCACAATGGGAACAACTCCCCTTTAACTCTAACACAACACTGACATTTCCCTTGATCCAGGATTCACATTTTTGTTAACTAACCATTTGAAGGTTTGAAAACTATGCAAGCCTGCATGCAAAGAATATCTTAAGTGAACTGAGAGCATCTGAGAGAAGTTTCACATCTCACAGCACTAAAGTCTGTTTAGTCCCAGTGTCACCACCGGTCAAGCAGATTCTGAAACATAAAATCCAGAAAAATCCATTTACAAGATATGAAAGGGGGGACAAGAATATACAGTATATAGCTTGCTCTTTCTACCACCCTTCTATTCTTGGGGGGGGGGGCTGTAATCTTTCTTTACCCTAATTCTTAATTACAACCACCATCCCTACTTAACAATAAGTCAAAGCAATGGTAAAATTTTCTAAACCATCAAACTGAATTGCATGCAGTGTCAAGATCAATTGCACTCCTAAGAAAATGGCAGGATTCATTCATATGATACAGCCTTGCACTAGGGCTGCTTCCAAACAGGGACAATTCTCTACTCTGTTCTCACTGCTATTGTAGAAGTAGAGGCATCTGCTGCAGCAGCAACAGTACTCTCATATTTCCAACAGTATCCCCTAATAAATAAATAATGTCCACCATTTCCCCTGCCAGAGCACTCATTGCTTGCTTTTTTGAAAGGGGGGGGGGAGGGGGGACAGCTACATCAGCAGCCAAAATAGCCCAGACTAGCCCAAGCTGGTCAGAGTTCAGAAGCCACGCAAGGTTGTCCATGATTAGTTTTCAGATGCGAGGCCATCAAAGAAGACAGTTTATGCAGAGGAAGGCAACTGCAAACCACCTCTGCTCATTCTCCTTCCTTGAAAACCCCGACCTGACAGCACTTTATTAAAATTATTACTAGTAGCTACTTCATTACAGCATAACGAAGCTAGACTAATATTACTACTGATTTAAAAACATCTAGAAACAGCTCACTGGTAGCGGGGGTGGGGGGGAGTTAGGTAGGAGGGGAAATGGCACCAATGGGGACAGGGAAGTGCAGAAATCCACACTACCCTCACCACACTCATCTTTCAGAAAAGATCAGACAGAAGAAGGTTTTTAAAAATGCAGTAAAGTTGGGGAGTCCTGGAGGGTAGATGGCTGCATGGTGATGTCACGTGGAAGTCTCATGAAATCACAGGAGGCGGGTGTGTGTAAAAGCAAAACCTACAGGTAGAAGCAGCCCTAGGCCTCACTTCCTGCTTGGTTTTAAAGGGCCACATATACATACCTGTCCTGTACTAAAGGATTACATTTTCCCCTCTCTCTGTACCTGTACATTTAAATAAGCTAAATATATATGGGGATATGCATTCATCCTTTCCAGATACTTAAATATGAAGTTTTACAACCATTGGGACAAAGGCAAATGACTAGGAGCATGATATGGCAGGTAATCATACCCTGTCACCTGAACACATAAAGTTGACTTATTATAACACATAAAGTTGCCATCAAGGTCACTATTGTCTACTCTGACAGGTGGCAGCTCTCTAGTACTAGAGGTCTACCACCTTCTACCTGATCCTTTTAACTGGAGATGCCTGGATTGAACCTGGATTGAACCTGGGACCTTCTGCATACAAACCAGAGGCTCTGACACTGAGCTATAGCCTGTGGTTCTAACAACACATATATGCGCTGCAGTAACACCAGTTCTACTCCTGGGAGCAGAGTTGATCTTTTCTGAAGTGCTGCAAACATCTGGAAGAAAGTCTGGCCACTATACCACAGCAGGATAGAAAATGGCATCACAGGCCATGGCATCTGTACAATACTGCATTCAGCTCTCTGGGAAGCTATTAAAGTGGGAGCTTAAGGTAGGAAGCTTAATCTGGCTTCCCAGAAGAAGCATGTCAGAAGGCTCAACTGAATTTGGCAGGGGTAGATCTGTGTGTCACAATGGTACTACTTCAGGCTCCTCTATGAAGTAGGCAGTCAAGGAAAGATTTAAAACACAGCTGGGATAAGCAGAAAGGTAGAAATGAAATTATTTATCCTTCAGCAACATTACTTAAAGCAGCATTTCTGCTAGACTATACAGCCTCAGCTCTCTCATACCATCTCATACCTGCTCGTGCCATGCTTAAAATCCAACACACACATTCCCACTTTTATAGGGAACCCATACGACCCAGATTGAGTCATGCAACCAACACATCGTTGCATTCTAATCTTCTAATCTAGGACTGTGCAATGCCACTATGTAATCAAAGAGCAGTCTCAGGAATACTACCAAAGGGAGTTGAGACTACATAACCAAGTGGAAAGACCGCTTTAGCTAACATTGCCTAAGGATAAATAACAAGTTCACCCCCTCCCCTCTGCCATGCAATCATCTCTCTAGTTCTCCACCAGCACACGCACGCACACACCCTTCCCAGAGGCTGTGCAGAAGAACAGGTGCTACTATGGCCAGCTAAGCCACTAAAAGAGGAAGAAACCCGTTCAACTCAGACCAAGCAGGCAAAGGAATGTTTCCCTTGACCCAAAAGCTTCCCTCACCCTCCTGCCATCCCCATCTGAATCCAAATTGCGACTCTGGAGGCTAGGCAAACTCTATCAAGAAAGGTTGGGCAGCATGACGTTAACTCCTTAACACACAAGCCTGTAAGCAAACAATGAGGTGTATGCAGTTCTTTGATTGCTTTCCAGAAAGGGGAATCTGGAGGAGGAAGAAGACTCGAGCATACAAAATTGATGCATTACTGGCCCAAGATCCATCTGCACACTTGGGTGAAAGGAGGGGAAGGGGGAGAGATGGATAACGGCATGAAGTCAATCCCATCCTTTTCAAGGCAGTCAAAGGCATGTTGTGCTTCTCACTCAGGTGTCCTCCAAAGGGGTCGCCTGGCTGATCGAGGAGAGGCAGAGCAGCGCCTCCCAGTTCCGGGGGCAGCTTGACAGCTTGGGGGAGGTGAGTGGGAAGAGGATCCGTGTGACTGCATCAACTTCCCCCTCAACATATTGCAAGGATCAGTCTGGTGCGTTTTTCCAGCAGCCCCTACCCACGTCCGATGAGACGGATGGGGGGGGGGGGCGTACTAGTGCCAACAAACGTGCCTTCCTTCCTTCCTTCCTTCCCCGAGGCACACATGCTTGTTGCATGCGGCGTCGCCCTTGACCGGCTTGGCCGCTCCAGGCATCACAACTTACCCAAACTGCCGGCGAAACCGTCCATCTTGGGAGCAGAGAAGCTGCCGCCCGACCCCGAAGCGGCAGCGCTGGAGAAAGGAGGCGGCGGTCCGAGGGAGGCTCATTCACCCGCGGAAGAGCAGCGGCACCCTCGGCGCGCGGGGCATGGGCGCCCTTCATGGTCCTTCTGGCCTTACCAGACCAGCCAGCGGCTGAGTGTGGTGAGACCGAATGCCTGCCTGCCTGCCTGCCTGCCTGCCCCGTGCTCCGTCTCCCGCAGCACCAGCCACCACGGCCGAGCGCTCCCACTCCTCCTGCAGCCGCTCTCAGGCCCGCCCCGCAGCGCCCTCTTGCTTTCGCGCTTCCGACTCCGCCCCACTTGGCAGCCGGGGCTTCCCCTCCAGCCATTGCAGGCGCGTCAAGACCGGAGGTGGGCTGGCGGCGTCCCGGGCTTTTGTGGCGAGGCACCGCCGGTGGGAGAGGGGTGGGGTGTGCCGCGAGTCAGTGGGTACTGGCGGAGACGCCCCGCCGAGCGGAGAGGCAGCGCTGCAGGAGGAACAGGCTGCATCCGGACTTAACACGAGGGGAGCCAGTGGATGAGTCTAGTGGGCCATTTCGTCCGGTATCCTGTTTCCAGCAGTGGTCAGTCGGATAGGGAAGCCTGGCAGCAGGGGCGGATTAAGGCTCACTGGTGCCCTAAGCACTGACCAATCTTGGTGCCCCCCTCCTTTCCACACTGACCCAGTCCATTTTAGTTGTTGACCTGTCTGACCAGATATACAATGCAGGTTGTAGCAATACAAAAATTTATTGATATGATAACACAATATATGATCCGTAGAGCACCTTTTTTTAGTCTGTATTTATTGAGGTTTTAATGTGATTATGTTTTATTACCGGCGTTTGCCGCTTGTTTGCCGCCCTGGGCCGTATGGGTAGGGCGGGATATAAATCTCAAAAATAAATAAATAAATAAAATAAATATACTGTACAAACTAAGCCAAGCTTGGGCTACATAAAGTTCTACAAAAATGCATCTATTTTAATGTTTTACAAGTTAAATGTATCAAAGTTCCAATATTCATGACCTGAAAGGCATTTTTCTACATTTCATTTTTGCAATATCACTGATATCCTCAAAATTAATACCTCTCAGAATGTCTGCTTCAGTTGAGTCTTTCTTGAAGCATAACTGATCTATTTGGGTTTTTTACACTTTTCAGTTGTGAGGAAGGCCTCTGTTGTGCAGTTGGTAACTATGTTAAAAATATTCTTAAGGCAATTTCAACATTTGGAAAGGCACTCTCTAGTTTTTCTGTAATTGTGTTGTAAAGTTCTATATGAGTGAAAGATGTTTTCTTGGTTGTTTTAAACTTATGAAGAACATATGAATGGAACTGCTGAAGTTCTGTAGACAAAGTGTTGTTCATGTCATCTGGATAAGCATCAATGAGTGTCTGACAAGTCTTTGAGTACCTTTCACTTTCTGATAATTGGGAATTAGCACCTTATTGGGTGGCATTAAGAACATGTCAGACAAGAGAATCTGTCTGCTATTTCAGTGTACACCTTTCGTCTCCTCCTCATTTTTGTTTCTAACTTTTCAACAATTACATAAAAAGTGGAGATACGGAATTTGTCTCTGACACTGAGAATTACCTCTTGCATTTCCATCGTTGGGCATTCTTTTTCTTATATGCTTACGCGTTTGAGTTGCTTTGTATTCCACATCAGGGAGCATGTCCTTTGCAAGTGATTCAGATCTCTCCAACTCATCTCTTGATGTGTGCAACTGGTCTGCCAATGATGAATACAAATCTGCACATGTTTGCAAGATCACATTTTCACTTTGAAGAAGTTAACTTGTTCTATGAAACTTTTCTAAAGATTCATTCCAAAAATTCAGCATGAACACAAATTCCAGTTCTTGCATCTTGTTTGCAGTATTCTTTGCCTCCCTTCTACTGTCACCTTTTTTGCAACTGGTCATCTGATAAATCTTCCAAAACTTCCAGAATCTTGAAGAAAGAGTTGATAATTGCTGCAGTTGCCACAGCACGTGCTTCCCATCTAGTGTCTGAAAGGGATTTGAACCTGAGGCTCCCAGATCCTGGTCTGACACTCTTAAGCACCACACCACAGTGGCTCATTCACCCAGACCACCCAATGACCCATCCCCCCTTGACACAGCAGCCAACAAGGTGAGGGGGGGGGGAAACCAGGTGTGAAGTCAGCCTTGTAGATGTTGCTGGACCACTGCTGTTTACTAACAAAAGAAGACCCAAAGGAAACTGTACAAAATGTGCTTATAATTCATAACAATATAAGGTAAGTATAAAGATATAGCGATCAGCAATTCTCATAAATATTTCTTTCTAGGTATACAGATGAAAAAGAAGTCCTCAGAAGAACAAACTGGATGATGAAATTCTCTGGAGTAATCTTCCATTTTGTAGAAAACCTTTTCTGAAAGTCCTTAATAAAATAAATGAAAAATTTCAGCTACAATCATGTGCAACAATTCTTAAACCCAGGCAAAATATACCATTGCTCAATAAAATGCTATACATACCAAAACTGTCTCTCCTATTTTCATAGATTACAATCTTTTCCAAACAGGGTAATATACAAAATCTGAAAAGAAAACAGAAAAGGAAAAAAGGTAACATACTCACAAGTAACACAAATTTAACAAGCTTCTACACCTCAAAAATACATGAATTTAACAGTCTGGGGAAAAAAATCTTACCCTAATCCATGATGTATGCAATGCTCCCTCTAAGCTGTGGAGTCTTGTGAGCAACAATGCTACTTTGTGAGCTACTGGCATTAAAGTTGTGAGCAGGTGATTTGGCTACTGAATAAATTAGTTTGTTCTGGAGCCATCCTTACTGAGCTAAGACAAAAATGTGTGAACCAGAGGGAACACTGGATGTATGGTACTTCTTACAAAGATTCTTACAAAAACAGGCAATCGCCTTAACAGGTGCATCTACTATACTCCTATATATAGTAAAAGGTATATAGCCATTCAAAATTCACAACAGAAACTTACATTGAGTCAGCGAAATTTAAAAGTGTTTAAAGGTACATGGCCATTAATATTAACATGTTGGAAACTTACAAGAGTATAGCTACTAGCACCTCCAAAATTTATAACGGAAATTACCATAGACAGAATTATGCAAAAAAGAAACTTATAGAAAACAGGCAAGATCTAAAGATATATTCAGACCTCCAGGTTGACAGGTATTTAATCAATTAATCCAAAATGCCTCCCTACGGAGTACAGCCTTCCGCATATCAATTCTGCTGTATTTGTTAGGGCGAACTACTTCCAATACCACAAACCTAAACTCATCAAGGCTGTGTCCCTTTTCCAGAAAATGCTGAACCAAGGGAGCATCTTGGCATTTATGTTTTACTAGGAAAAAGGTCCGTTGTGGAAATAAATACAACGGCCTCTAGAAAGAGGCTCTGGGCGGGTGCCCCGGCCTTGGACACTCAGTGTCAATTTGCTGTGGCGACCTCAGCAGGGTATAATGACACTGAGTCCACCATTTTCTCCAGAGGAACTGATCTCTGCTACCTAAAGAACAGTTGTAATTTTGAGTGATCTCCAGCCCTCACCTGGAGATTGGCAATGATGATTCCCCAGAAGGGAATGGTTGGCTTGGAGGGTGGAGTCTATGACTTTGTACCTGTCAGAGGTCCCACACCTCCTGAAACCTCACTCTCTCCAGGCTCCATCCCTCACATCTCCAGGAATTTCCCACCTGGAGTTGGCAATCCTATCTCCTTCCCAGCCAATCATCAACCTACCTTTATTTCCCCCTCACTCTTCAGCTTTCCACCCCCACACACCTGCAGCCTCTCCTGTGCTCTAAAGCCCTGACTGCTACGTCACATTGGCTGTCATACGGGGGCCACCTCAGCAGCATATAAGGATACAGCGCCCACCATTTTCTCCAGGGGAACTGATCTCTGCCATCTGGAAAGCAGTTGTAATTCTGAGTGATCTCCAGCCCTCACCTGGAGATTGGACACATTTTACCTCAGAACAGCAAACCGTTTAGAATGTTAGAGGCAAAAGCCAATCAAGTCGCATATGCAAATGACCTCTGTTTCTGAGGCAAAGGCCAGTGAGGCTGCATATGCAAATAACCTCTGTGTTCTGACTGGCTATGGGGGGGAGGGGAACAGCAAACTGTTTAGATTGTTGGAGGCAAGACTCAAGCAATGCAGCCAATGGATAGGGACAGATTCTGAGTGACACACCAGGGCACCAACCAATTCCGGAGCGTGTGGAATGTTCTAGAGACGTGCCACCACCATTCGGCTTTTATATATAAGGGAGATACGGGATCTATGCTCCAACACACGTTCCTTAAGTGCACGTGTGGATTCACCAATATACTTGAGACCACAACCACATTGCAATAAATAGATGACCCCCTTGGTTGCACAAGTGGAAAAAGATTTAATTTCTTTTTTAAAGCCTACCTTAGGAAAATGCAAAACTTTAGTCTCCCATGCCTGTGGGCATGCCGCACATCTTTGACATTTAAAATGGCCCCTTGGGGTAGTCATCTCACCACCTGCTATTGGTAGATCAGCTCTTACTAATACATCCCTAATGTTAGCAGATCTACGAAACCCTATAAATGGTGTATCCTCACAGGTGGGCACATCGCCCAAGATGTGCCAATGTCTCAAAACAATGTTTCTGATAGAGTATGCCTTGGGCATAAAATCAATCATCCAACAAATCCTATTCTCTCTCCTGTTATTGCTGTCTCTCAATAATTTCACGTAGTCTGCCTGCTCCGCCCGTTGTCGGGCTTTCAGTATAAGATTTAAAGGGTAATCACATTCCAAAAACTGTCTCGTCAGTCTATTGACTTCCTCCTCAAAATCTTTATACAATGTAGAATTCCTTCTAGCCCACAGAAATTGTCCATATGGTAAGTTCTGGGGGTGGAAGCAATGCAGTGGGCAGACCCAGTGTCTTCAGAGGGGGGTGGGGAGGGTACTAGGGGAGGCAGGCAGCTGACTCCAGTCCTGGATTCTGTAGCAGGGGAATCAGAGCCCTTGCTGGGGGTCCTGGAATGGCAACCAAGCAGAAGTGGCTGGAG